GTCAACTACCAACTAAATCTAAATTGTAAGACAAACGAGGTGACCCCAGCGTTTCATTTGTATTTATGCAGTAATATCCTATTCCTTGCATATGGTGTTTACTCTACCATGCAACTTATTCCACACACTCAAGAACTTGCCCTGAGTATGATCAATTTTTTAAGCCAAAGCACAGTACTGTCTTTTATTAATTTTCAATCTGAAGTTGAAAATGATTACATTCATTTTCAACTTCAGATTGAAAATTAATAAAAGACACTACTCAGAGGTCAGTTGATGTAAATGGGATTTTACCAATCGCGATTAAAGTCAGGATATCATACATGTAAATTCTATGGTTGTTATAAAGTGGCCTTGTTCGACAAATTATCACTGGGTCGTATTTTGGCTGACGTGTTGCATACAAACTGTAAGGTCCTAGTTTCTACATTAAAATTGACTATGAAATGTATCCTTGACCAATACATAGGGCCCTGGGAGGTCGTAACCGGTCAACAAGGGATGTTTACACCTCCTCGGCACCTGAATCCACAATTGGGGTTTCCGGAAGGTCCGTGCTATAACATGTTTACAGATTTATATTTGATTGTTGTTGGTATCGATCGTTGTTGTCATCTTCATCTCTGATCCCACATCTGATGTTTCGGAGGTCCGTCTTTGTATTGTTTTATGGACTTTGATATTGAATACTGTTCGTTATCTCCAGTTATTTCACCCTGTAACCTAGCTGCAGAACTGTAGCTCTCCGAAAATATATATATTATTGATAGACTGGAGACTGTCAAAATATTTTTTTTCGGAGAGCTACAGTTCTGGAACTACCTGTAACCCATTTATCTCCTATAAAGTCCTCAAATACACTGTAGGTTTTCGTTGTCTAAATGATTAGTTTGTAATATAGAAGTACATCTGGAACGATTTATTATATTACTAGCCATGCATCCTGCATAATATTTTTACATTTTCCAGTTTTCAAGTTAAAGTCAGGTGCATGCAGTTTGCCCGCAGTTGTGGCCATCATTCAGAGGGAATTCTAGGGTTAGAGAAGCTAAGCGAAACAGTAGCTAATTTAACTACTATTGAATTTTAAAATTCAGATGGAGTGACGAACATACTTCACAGAATTTTACAGATAAAATTTAACGTCGAAATCCAAAGATAATAAACTGCCTCTTTAAACCACGCAGTCATGGTCTCGAAAGCGCACAAAAATTTATTAATGGTTGACTGACTTTTAAAAAAAACTTAAATCTATACTATTCATGCTTTCCTATCCGTTTCAGGACAAAGGTTCACTCTGTATAAACTTTTATTGGACTAGTAAACTTTAGGTATGAGATGTCTGATTTAGAGCACTTCACTTTTGTACATATATATGTACTCGTATATTGCTCGATCAAGAGTTGCAAAAATAAAGAAAATGCATTTCCGTGAATTGAATATTGCAAAATATTGATTATCAACAGTCATTTATACCATTTCTTCGAAAAAGCAATTTCATCTAACATTACTTTATTGAATTAGAGGATTAACTCTATTTTCGATGAAAATGATTTGTTCATTCAATCTCTCCATCAACAACTGATTAACGAGAAATAAAATAAAGTGTCCTTAACAGAAACGATCCTTAATTGGGCCCAATTGCTGGGGACTTTAAGTATCGATGTCTTCTGCAGGACAATCGAGACATTGCAGTTGCTGTCTTCTAGAATTAAGTGTCCGGTCTAGGGCCTTCCATATAATTAATGTCCCCGGGATCCTGAGTGTCGAGAAAGCGATTTGTCGGGTAGACGTATTCATAAAACGTCTCCTTATTTAAAGCACAAGGTTCATTCAGGTGTCATGTTTGTGTTTGTTACTAGTGAATTAAATATTTTTTAAATGTAATGATCTTTTGTATTTTATATATATATCGTCGGATAGAAAGAAAAAAAAATAAACTTAAGAAAGAGCAATTCAATTCACATTTATTAAAATGCATTTGATAAAAACAAAATATCATTGTGATTGAGTAAATATATTTGATGGAGAACAATTTCCTCATACCTATAGAAAAGGGTAAAAAATGAAAACAACGTAAAGTTCGTCCTTGACATTTAAATGCAGCTGTCTAAAAAACGAAAAATATTGTACATTTAAATTGCATGATTACATACAACCCACAAAGCTTGGTCAATTGATGAAAAAAATCGGATGAAGATGTAAACAATTCTTTGACATTAAAGTTGAAACTTCCTTTGAAATTTTGGAATGACAGAGTTGTAAATCTTCTTTACGGCTTCATATAATTAACAAGAAATCAATTATTTTTACACTTAAAAAATCAATTCATTGCTCCTGAATAAAATTAGGTATACTAGTTTATGTTTACACTAAATCTAAACTAAAATATTATGATGACTTAACATTGTCAATATATTATGCCATAACAACTACTACATGTATAGTACTTTACATATCTCTAAACAATAAAATGTCCGAACAACCATTTGTTTTTAACACATCCATCAACATGTATATGAACACAAAAACTCCTGTATCTGATCTAGATGCAGATGTATTTCACAGCACAATATCTCAATGTTACTATGCTTGCTCATCTATTACTTCCACTCCCTTAATTTGAAGTTTTGAATTCAAAAATATAGTTTAAAGAGAAACAGTACAGTTTTTTTTCAGTTTTTGTGCTTGGCATATCATAACATAAAATAAAGTAAAATAAAATGATAACATTATTTTATAAGGCATTTTATGCAAGAATTAAAAACGTGTGCATTCAAATTTTATTCTCTTTTTTTTTTTTTTGAAAGATAACACTCATTTTTTCAAGCATTCCAAATGCTTAGCCCATAAACAAAATACATGTATAATGCATAATTCAGATTTTAACTCCTACATTTTGGTCTGGATACATAAGCTTACAATACAGATGGATTCTGATTTACTGGCTCTTGCAGATTAGAACTGGGCAGTGGGCGTGATGGAGGATGAAGTCGCTGGTGCTGCCCAGTATTGTCCGCCTGATTAGGCCCATTCCTCGACTTCCGGAAACTATATACGTCACCTTCTCTTTTTCAGCAATGTCCACAATGGCGTGTTCCGGTTTGTCGGATGTTTTGATTCGGATGTCGGCTTGGAACTGCAAAGATTTCTTTATTAAGCAAAGTATTCGACAAGTATGATCTGTAATTAAATATTTACATTCACCGAACATTATATTCTTTACTTCTCATAAAAACCGTATCCATTTACCAATTTTTATTTCTATAAGGGATTTTTCGCAAAATATGCCTACGAGAAATTACAAATATATTATTTTTTATCATTACTCATATCACCTAAAAGTTTATTACAACCTTACATTAGTAAAAAAAAAAAGGAAAAATTCATGCAAAGAGCAGAATCACATTGAGATTTACTTATTGATAACTGCAGAATTTTTAGCTTTTAGTATAGACACATGCAATACCAGTATGCCACGCCAAGTGCATGTACATGTATATTCAAAAAACTACTTTTGATTTATTTAATTCCTTAATCTAAATATTTAGAATGATAATGTAATTTGAAAGGTCATAAGTCTTACGGAATAAATAATCGCAAGTTTCGTTTCAGAATTTTATACCTCTACATGTTTCTAACAAAAAATTCTAAAACACAATGTTTGCATTGATAAACAGTATGACATTGCTTTGTCCTTAAGAAATGTCCTTTGTACAGTAAGAATGTGCAGCAACCTGAATAACATAAGTAGGTCACGGGTGTAGTGAGATAATTCAGGGCTGTAAAATCCCTCAAATAACCGTGAAACAATACTTTTTAAATTGAAACAATACAGGGCCACGTCATTTTTAAATAACATGCTAAAATTAAAATTTTCACAACACCCATTAACCAATTTTTCACTCGAAATTTCATTTCTGTTTTAATTTTCAAAAGGATTATTATTTTCCAGCAATTCAAAGGGTAGTATGCATACATTGTCATTTATTCTCCCCACTTTCACTGAAAGTTGGAGGTCTTAATTTGGATCGGTTTGTCCGTTCGTTCGTCCATCACTTAGTCCCTTCGTCTGTCTTTCTGACTGTATCACTTTCGTTTCCGCGAGATACATGCATCTCTTGAAGGCTTGAAGCCTTTGAGCATTTGCAGTGAAATTTTATATACGAAACTCCCTGTGGCCTAAAAAAGACCCCAGTTGATTTTGAGGTAAAAAGATAAAAAAAAAAATCATTCATTACTTGTGTAAAAATTTCATATCTGGGCGATATCTCAATAGACTTTTGAGATCTTGCAATTCGATTTATACCATAACTCCGTTTGGACCCGCCCGCCCCTCTTATAATGTCTCCCTGTGACCCCCCCCCCCCCCCGCTGTAGATCTGTGCATGTTCTTTTTTCCTTAAGCGGGGGATACAGAATCACTGAATTACCCTGTAGCAAGATTAGTGTTTCGTCTCTTTTTATTAGTAATTATAAATTGCCTATTACACAAATTAGCCTTATGCTACATGAAATATATTTAGTACGGAATTCTTCAGAGTTCGTTAATAGTTAACTATAGTTTACCCCAAGTCCCTGACACATGGCTGCGTATTTGTCCTTCAGGGCCTCGGCTTTTTGTTTCGCCTCCCTCTGTAGCTCCATATACCGGGCCGGACCTGTAGAGAACACCTTACTCTCTTCACGCTTGTACAAATCTCATGAATTCATACTGATGTGATTATTATTAGCAAGAGAATAAATTATACCATAGGCAGTTATACATATAATTAAAAAAAATTCGTTGTAGTTGTTTATCAATAAAAGATACGAATTAAGTTACACTTTGTAATATTCAATCGCTCTAGATTTTCAAAGAAGCTGAAAAGACACACAACTGTTAAAAGCTGAGCATACTAAGCATACATAAAGTTGCCATAAACTCTATGATTTAGTGTCTGTATAATATTATATTTTAAAACGTTTCCAAATTTGTTGGAGAAAAAAAGGAACCCCGTATAATTTGCTTGTAATTCTATAGTATAGTGTGCAGAAAATAGGGAAAAATATAGCGTTATGCATATGATTGTTTAGAATAGAGGGGCCCACATTACTTACTCATGTCCGTAATTCCAAGATTTTCAATGACGTGTAACAAAATCACCTTGTTTTCAGGTTTGTGGAAGTTTTCTACATACCCTGTAAAGAAATGAAACCAACTCCGATTATTTTCATAAAAAATTGTTTCACCTCAAACGCAAAATCTTGTAAATGATTTTTACTTCATCTAAATTTATTTTTGGTGAAAAATATCACATTCAAATTGATGCAATCTCTATGTTGGAATACCCAAAGACATATGTCTAACTATCAACAAATGTACGAAATCTGCAATTTCTGAGCTTAACGCTGCTTCAATATTTTAAACATTCGAACTGAAGGACGGACCTAGACACCTTGAACCAAGTATACATGTGCATGCATCACTGTTTTAGCTGTGGCTTTGAAAACTAAAATATCTATACGGCTACATAATGTAAATGATGTATAATGTTTCATATTTATTAAAACAATGTGTATTTGTGAAACACCGATGAAACAAATATGCCCCCGAACGGCAGCTTATGCCGAGGATAGTTTTAAATGCACTTAGAAATTTTTGGTAAAAGTGGAACAAACTCGATGGTAAAGATCAAGAGATCAAATTAGGTGATGCCCGAAGAAAGAGACAAGGAATACACCTGTGAGAGTCAGGAAAGCTATAGCCCCACCTTCTCAACAGTTATGGTCGAGGTTCAAGTTTTGCGGACGAAGTCAAACAAACAGACAGATGGACGGTCAGGGCAAAAATTACCGGTATATGATCCCGAATCTTCGATTATGATTCATCAGTACTCATATACATCATTCAGACTAAGGTTAATGAACCATTAACTTATAATTGTAAAGGCATTATTGAATCAAAAACACATGCACACCACAACCTAAATAATCTACGCACTTACTACAGGGTGTATTAACATAACCCCATATTCTGATTCTCGGGTCTTTAAATAACATGCATGAGGCATAAAATGACTTTCTACACCTAATTTACATAAAACACCGATACAAAGGGACACACCAAGACCGAATGAAGGATACAATTTGCAATAAAACTCAGGTAGAGGACAAGAATTTGAAGAAAGCGAATTCAACTTTAAACATGTAATGACTAGACAGCTGTTAGCTATTGTATCAATGAATGAAATACACGTTTTCGATGTGTCAAATATTATATAAGCCCTACTTAGACATTTTTCCATGTTTTGTTTTTCTACTCGATGAATACATGTATTTTGTAAGGTTAAACGTTAAACAGCTGCATGACGAAATGTCATCATTAGATTATGGTTGCACACCAATGGATCATTAGATCATGCCAAACAATATTGTAAACATCTGCATATTTTTTCGCTGTAGACTAAATGTACTTACATTTGAAGGCATTTTCTGCAAACTGGCTCTCATCTATTGCAATCAAAACCGTGGCCATTTTCTATAATATATTAAAATCCTTCTTACTGACAGCGGTCAATGACTGAAATCGAGAAAATTCGGCGTGACACTGTTTAGCGGGCAGGTAACTCTAGTTTACTTGTTTATTAACATTTCACGGCATAGTACAAAACATAAACTGGCTTCATTTTAAAAGATAAACGTTGGCTTGTTTGTTATGCCCCCGTAAACGAAGTTTCGGGGTATATAGTTTTTGTCGTGTCCGTCCGTCTGTCTAGCTGTCCGTCTAGCTATCTATTTGTCCGCAAAAACTTTAACCTTGCCCATAACTTTTGATTTAGTGGAGCTATGATTTTCATATTTCACATGTGTATTCCTTGTGACAAGACCTTTCCTTGGGTACCACCAAATTTGACCTACTGACCTTGGAGTTTGACCCACTTTTAAACAAAAATTTCAAATTAATTTTTACTTAGGCCGTATCTTTTGAACAGTAGATACCAGGACTTTTATACTTCATATAAGCGCTGTAAAAGCTAGTGCTTTCATACTTCATATATGTATTACAATCTTTTGAGAAGACCCTTCATTGGATAGCAATAACTTTTACCCTTTGACCTTGGATTTTGACCTACTTTTAAAAGGCAAACCTTGATCATAACTATTAAAGGGTAAGGGCTACTGTTTTAATACTATATACATTTTTAATCCTTGTGACAAGACCTTTCATTTGATATCAAGAACTTTGACCCTTTGACCTTGGAGATTAACCTACTTTTTAAAATCTTTAACCTTGGCTATAACTTTTGAACGGTTAGGGCTAGGGCTTTCATACTTCACATATGTATTCTTTGTGGTAAGACCTTTTATTGGATGCCAAATTACCTTGACCTTTTAAACTTGACCTTGGAGATTTCTTTACTAAAAAAAACTTTAACCTTGGCCTTAACTTTTGAACTCTAATGACAGGTGCTCTCATACATCACATATGTAATTCTAATGAGAAGACTCTTCATTGGATACCAATAACTTTTACCCTTTTACCTTGACCTTGGAGTTTGACCCACTTTTAAAAGGTAAACCTTGGCCATAACTTTTGAAAGGTTAGGGATAGTGCGTTAATACTTTTCGTATGTAATCCTTGTGACAAGACCTTTCATTTGATATCAAGAATTTTGATCCTTTGACCTTAGACTTTGACCTACTTTAAAAAAAAACCTTGGTAATAACCTTTGTAATGAAGGGTAAGGGCCTGGGCTTCACATATGCTTTCTCTGTGGCAAGATTTTTCATTGGATACCAATTACCTTGATTTTTTGACCTTGGAGATTTCCGTACTTATGAAAAAACTTTGACCTTGACCTACCTTTATATTTTTCTATTGTATTTCCAGTGAGAATACCCTACTTTGGGTACCAATACATTAAATTTGCATTTAAGAAAAGTTTAATCTTCACTGTATTGCCATAAGGGGGCATCAGTGTTTCACAAACACATCTTGTTGTTTATAGTTCCTGTCGTGGATTTTTCACTCATTTTATGTTTTACGGCGTGACCGTTGTGGCGAACATCAAGTCGCACGAGACATCTTGGCTAACTTTGACATCACATAACGTAAAGTAGCTGATCAGAGCTTACGGAGACAGTCAGACTCCTGTTAAAACCATAGATCCAGTGTAATTTTTGACGAAAGACTATTGAGTATTTTCTTGTTGACTTTTTAAAGGTTTCTACAAACTGAAAGCCTTTTGTTGTCTGTGTTATTTATTTATTTATTCGCCATTATCACATTGAATCCTGGTATCCAAGACATTCTGGGAAGATTTCACTTGCCTGACGTATTAGTCTGGTTCTCAGTCCTTATATTGCTTCATACACTCCGCGTCACTTGGCAAGGATGAGACGGGAGACCAGGCTACATGTACCTGACGTATGTAAAAATTTCATTTCGAATTTCCTCTATTCTTACTTGAAAGTCTATTGAGCTCGCTTCGCAAGCGTCGCTTAAAAGACACCATCATTTCTTGTTAGAGGAAATGTTTACCTATATTCGAAACTCGGGGCCAATTCTGTTTTGTAATTGAAATAAAAAATGTCATCACAAACTAAAACAAACATTTTTCGATCATTGACAAAAACACTGAAAAATGTACATCAGGATAAGTTAACTTGATCATGTTTCAAAAATTCAGTATGCTTAACTAGTATAATATGCAAACTATTCAATCATGTTCATACTGCAGTTTAAATATCCATGTACAGTACGTGTCGCAGTTTTGGATGCGTAGGCCCAAATGCCTTGATGGAATACATGACTGTGCGTAACGTAACTTACACACGAGAATTTAAATCTCAGAGTGAAGTAGAATCAATAAAGCATTGAAACATCATGACTTTGAAGTTAGACTACGAGGGCTGTTCAATAAATAATGTTCTGAACTCTATGACATACAACATAGAAAACATAAGACATAAAGCTTGACATTCCCTCATTATTGAATCTTTAATGAATTTAAAACATTTTATGTGACCACTTTTCGTCACATATTTTCATTGTGAAAAGCTGGAAAACAAGTGTTATTTGAGACACTGCATTAAAAATAAATGGTAAAGAATCAGTATACGAGAGTGAAATCAAACGGTTCATTAAAGCTGCTGTAAAACTTGTTAAGAATCCCAAAGAGTTAGTTATAGATATGTTTGAACTTTAGATTTTAACTTTAAATGTAACATTCAGCAAATTTCAGCAACCAATGTCTGTTTTATGGATACATAAACAGGTGGATTCAATGAACAAAACTGATATCATGGGCATCGAAAATCGGTACCGTCCTTGGCGACAAGGAATTATAACAACCAATGTTCTGTTTGCTAAAATGCAACAAATAATCACTGATGATGTATGGTTGATTTTAAGACACATAGCAAATTTGATAGACATCAATTTGGGAGAAGTTCACACTGTTTTAAAGAAACATTTGACAGTATTTTAAAACAAGCTCAGTACTCAAAGGTCACCCTATATTTTGAAAATTGAGTGAAAATGTAAGAATATCTAAACAATTATCTTAAAAAATCAGAAATGTAGTTATCCACTTTCGTCTGAAAATCAAACAGATTATGAGACTTGAATTTATTGCATAAAGCCCTCAAATCAAAATTTACAATAAGATATACTTGACAAAAACAGCAAAGGTCTGAGAAGAGCAAAGAAATGCAAGAGCACAAAGACACATTTATATGCCATTTTCTTAAATATTAGTGGTATTGTTGTTCAAATTCGTATTCGGGGAGGCAGTTCAATTTCTGAAGGAGTCAAAAAAGCAATGGTTTTGCGAAAAAATCGAAAGGTTTATGAAAGGAGGTAACCAGATTCAGGAATCCACTACAATTAATTTTTTCATGACAGTGCAGTGGCGTAGCATCGTTTTTGAAAGTGGGGGGGCCAGGCAGAGAAAAATGTTTTTTACTTACCTGAAAAAGTTGACAAACAAAAAAAAAAAAGAAAAGGAAAAGTTGCCCAAAGTTGAAAATCGTATTTCGTTGGGGGGGGGGGGGGGGGGGGGGTAAGTAAACTTTTTTTCAGTGTCAACTACTTTTAGTACCAATTCTTATACTACTACATTTTCGGTACATTTCTAAAAGTGGGGAGGGCCAAACAGGCTTTGAATTAACATTTCCTATAGTGTAAGTAAGATTGGGAAAAAAGTGGGGGGGGCCTGGCCCCCCCCCCCCCCGGATACTACGCCCCAGCAGTGTCAAAACACATATTCCAGTATACGAAGGGATTACTCAAAAATGAGTTCTAAAAACAATTGGACATTTGTTACGGACGTGTATTTAATTTAAAGAGAATATTTAAGTGAAATCATTAAGACTAAATCATTGAAAAGCGCTCTTTATTTCTATCCGAGCACCGAGGACAATATTTATTGAACAGCCCTCGTAAGAACAAATAATGACACTGTATTCGACACCGTGATTGACCTTAGTTTGATCTAATTTTCAAACTTACATGTACGTTTTAACAGTGCTGTTTACTTTTGAAAGATTAAGCATTTATATTTGACACGTACGCACGTTGTGACAAGATCTCTGTATTATGATATTTTACTTCAAGATGGTCTGATTTAATTTGATTATCAAGAACCTGTTAAAGATGGGTAGCTTAACCCGGTACTTGTAACAGGTAGGTCACTTTATTACTAGTCTTGGTATTTGTTAGAGATAGGAAGCATCTGTTAGAGGTTGGTAACTTCAATATTGTATGAAACAACTGTCTCTAACTTCGTTTTCTGTAAGTTGACACCATATTATCTAAATAAATTCAAATTCAGGTTTTCTTTGGATTCTTGATTTTTATTTACAGTTGAATGCGAGAGTTAATGATTGCTGTTATAGGCCTTAAAAATCTTCTCATTTTGTTTGAAGGAATAACTGTCTATTTTTTGGTTTCATGATTTGATCAATCGATTGACTTGCATGCGTGATAATTTGCATAAACGCCAAAGGCATTTATGCATTAAACTATCACGAAAGCCAATCGATTGATTATCGTCATGAAACTAAAAACATTTATTCCTTATATTTACATGATCATGATTCCGCAAATGCACGTGCTGCAAGCCCCGCTAGCTTCTGTTTCTGTTTGTCCCGCCCCGCATGTTTTTTTTTATGCCTATCGATGAACCAGAAGATTTACGTAGAAATAAACTATTTTTACTTCCGGTATTTGTAATTTTATCTCGGACAAAGACATTGGAAATGTAAATATAGAGAGGAACGATATTCCCCATTTTCAAAAGGTGAGTTATTTCCCCTGAAGGGAACTCTTTTACTGTGTTTAATACGCATGCGCTATAAATAAAGTCACTTCCGCGGACGTTCTTGATGTAAATATGTTCATGGTGTAATGACTCTGTCATATGGAAAAATGTTATTGTGTTTGTGAATAAAAAGAAATCTTAACTGATTCGTATTTTTTTTTTAAATTGCCCACTCATAGTCTCTTTCTGGATTTGAATTAATCTGTATAGTAGTATAATAAGGCGCTGTGTGAGCCCCCCCCCAACAAAAAAAAGAAAAGAAACAAATTACTGATAAAATGCTGATACGTATTCGAATAGGCCTATTAAAAAAAAAAGCTAATTTTCGGTAGTGGATGTTCTGCATACGGATCATCATTATTTACAAAATGTGCGGAACTTTTTAGTTATAAAGTTTTTACGAATTAATCTAGCCTGCTGCAGCCATATTTTCTTTAAATATCTCTGGGAATTTTTTTGAGACTGATGACATGTCAGTCTACAGTTTTACCTCTGAAATTGCTGCATATACAGCAGTAGTTCGTCTTCCGCGACCGATACCAAGAAACTGCGTTTTTGCTCGATTGTATGTCATAACATAGACCTTTTACTTATTAGAACACATTTGGTGACAATTAAGGGCCTATTGCATTTGAATTAAGCGTGTTTCTAGAATTTTTTATTTGTAAAATAATTGATTCACTGTATAATATTAAAACTTTGAATGAAATTCTAAATGAATAATTTAATCTCATCAGTCTGACTAAAGCCAGCCCCTACTATATCACTTCGTTACCTACTAACGAAGTGATATAGTAGGGGCTGGCTTTAGTCAGACTGTTAATCTCATGTGCTCATGTAACGAAGAAAGACTAATTAAAATAGCATCGACCTGAATTCGTGTTACATATGTCGTATAAAGTCTGAGCTGAGTTTTAGTGTAGGATCTAAGCATATGTACATGTATATTCCCGAGTAAAATACACATTTTGTTTTAGATTGATCAGAGAATTGAGAGCAGAAACACGAAATTGATACAATAATTTCCTAGTGTATTTCTCGTTAATTAACGGAAAACATTCTTTTCTCAAGTGTTATTTATTTTTTTTTTAATCCTTTCAGTGTAAGTACATGTTTTTATTTTTATAAGTTATTCTTTTTTGCAAAGTGTGTAAAAACAATATCAGAGAGAGAGAGAGAGAGAGAGAGAGACTCATGTAACCCCGTGTAACAGACATACACCGTAATTTTATTGAATTCACAATTAATAATTCTAATGATTTTTAATTTTCACAACTATGGTTCATATTCAACTGTTCAACCCATTTACATATTCGTTCATATTCGTTATCTGTACCTGTACGCATGGGGGGGGGGGGGGGGTCAAGGGGCTTAGCCCCACCCCCACTTTTTTCCCCATATTACTTTTTCTATTGAAAATGTTCATTGATAGACAGGTTGCCACCCCCCCCCCCCCCCCACACACACACAGTTTATACTACGGTAAAGTTATATAAGGGAAATGTAGTATTGTATACCAGGAACTGGTACTAAAATAAGTAGCTTTTTCAACTTTGGGCAAGGTTTTTCTTTGCTTGTCAACTTTTCCAGGTAAGAAAAAAATATTTCTTTGGATACCCCCCCCCCCCCACTTTTAAAGACGATGCTACGTGCCTTGCTAATTCGTACATGTATAGCTTTCTAGAAGGGGGGTTAACAGACCCTTTATAAATTAATTTATTATCTTAAAAAAAAAATGCAAACCGTTTTCTTCTTTTAAAATTTTTAAATACAGCGTGTAAGTTGATCATTATGTTGTGGGATAATCGCAACGCGTAGTCCGCGGAAGTTAGGCTAGTATAGAAGAGTTCCGATTTTGAGGGGAGATAACTCACTTTTGAAAATGGGGAATACGGAGTCAATATTTGTTTTCCTTGTCATTTAAAAAAAAAAAAATATTTTTAAGATACCCTTCTGCCCTTTGGAATGAATCTGTCAGAAGTGGACAAAACATATGCCGCGGAATTTTACCTATAGCCCCCCCCCCCCCCCATTAATATTGTTAATGATGTAGAATGTTGAAGGTAATATGCAGGGTAAAGATGTACCCGAATGCACATCCATACATATGGAAAAATTTATATAAGCAACCAACATGTATTGATGTAAGTGTTTGTTTATATTCGATGCAATTTATTTCTTTTTTCTAGACAAACCTTTTAATTGTCAACGTACAGGACACACATAATACTTTTCATATAGTTGAACTAATGGCAAATTGTTGGCGATATGCAATTTAAAATGACGCTATCGCCTGTGTTAATTGGAGCGGGGAAAGTGTTGATGGGCGGTAACCGTCATCTTGTGTATGGTGGAGTGTTAAAGACAAAATGTACACTGCCTAGTTTCTAGCAAGAAATGTAGACACCCTGATAAATTGTGCATTCAAAAGGTTTCAAAAATCAAGTATAAGAAAATTTACTTCATTAATGATGCATGTGGTAATGATCTTTAATAATTTTTGACAGAAGCAATGGATTTGTATGACGTCATCGTAGTGGGGGCTGGTATTGAGGGTTCCTCGACAGCATACCATTTGGCAAAACATGGGAAGAAAACGCTGTTGTTGGAACAGGTTAATATGAAAATTAAACCAGATTTTGACATTCTGTTTAATTTAAAAGGAGGCCCTAAAATGCAAATATATGTTAACTTTGCAAAAGATAAATTAATGCTCTTGAAATGATTCGCAATAAACCCCTGTGTCTCGTAATACCTTAATATTTGTGTCTTTAAAGTTTCCACTGCCTCACTCGCGTGGGAGTTCCCACGGTCAGAGTAGGATCACGAGGAAGGCGTACGGGGAGATGGAACATTACACGTTGATGATGAAGGAGTCGTACAATCTCTGGGAAACTCTAGAGAAGGAGTCGGGGCGAAAGATTTTCAAGTAATCTGGAACCAATCCAACAATTAAAGTTTAATAACGTTATGACGGTACACACACTTAAAAGAACTTGCATCTTTTGTCTTGAATAGGCAAACGGGGATGTTGACAATGGGGTCAGCAGACGACAGGTTTACCATGGGAACGATCCGATGTCTGCAACGTCATGATATCCCACACACCGTACTGGACTACAATCAAATGAAGAAAGCGTATCCTATGGTTGAATTTCCAAAAGATTTTACGTTTGTAGTCGATAAGAGTGGAGGTATTTTAATGGCGGACAAGGCCCTGATGGCGTGCCACGTATGTAAAGAAAAAATTCAAAATGGCTCTATTAAGTTAAGCGTTTATTATATTACTTTCTTAAATAAAATACATGTATAATGCATGTACAATTTTTGTGAAGTATATTCAATAATTCAGTTTCGATTAATTTTACTATCTTAACAACATCCTACTAAAAGTACCGAGGCTATTACCAAGAGCAGTGATAGTATACCATGGAATTATTTCTACTTGGTATCACAGGACATGTTCCGTCGTTACGGCGGGACAATCAGAGATGGGGAGGAAGTGTTGGAGGTAATTCCGGGAGATAGGGTGGAGTTACGGACCGCTACCAATAGATACAGGGCAGGATCGGTAGTCCTGGCAGTAGGAGCGTGGGCAACAAAACTGTTACCCAAACTTCAAGTTCACCTGCCAATAAAGGTAAAATAAAGCATTATCAGTACAGTCTCACTTACTAGTACTTTAACTAAATTTCAACTGCTTGAAAGGACATTATTTAGTATTTTGAACAATGTAGGTTTGAAGATATACAATGTAGACACTACATTGAAGTGCTAAAATATTTTAATGTTTCTTCTACATTAAGTACCTTTATAAAAAATATTGTTAATAAAGAAATTCCAACATTACTGATTATTTTTGAGAAACTAAACACAAAAAAGTCGCAATCAAAATTTTAAGTATTTTGAATAAATCAAAATAAGCAGTATTCAAGTTTCCTAGTATGTTCTGTACATGTACAGTGTGTATGTTCAAGGTCATGAGGATTAATGTCCTCTACTGGAAGGAGAAGGTCAGTGGTAGATACGGTCCTGACAAGTTCCCTGTGTTTCTACAAGAGAATGCTTATAGTGGGTTTACAGTT